GCCGCGCCAGCCGCACCGCCAGCGACTTCCTCCACCCCACGCGCCCTGGGTAGGCTGCTGCTGATGTTGGTGTTGTCGTCGTTCGTCGTAGTTCTCGTTGTTATGGTTTTTGTCCCTGCTGCTGATATATGCGGTCGCTTCCGGCGTTGACTTATCTGCTGATGCGGCAGCTGCTGCCGCTGCTGCTGCTAGGGGGTGACGCGACGTGCACCAGCCCCAGCTTCTCTCTGCATCTGCTGCTGCTCCTTCTGCTTGTGTTGCTGCTGTTGCTGTCGTTGTTGCAGTCTTCCGGCCCCCGCGATGGTAGCGGCGTTTCAGAACCTCACCCACCGATGCCTCCGGACAGAGGGGGTCCCAGGGGCCCCTTAGGGGCCCCTGGGTACGAGTACTTTGGGGGCCCCCGTGGGGGCCCTCTGGGGCCCCCCATGTACCCGATGCGCAGGTGTAGCGACAGCCCGGGGCCACCTTTGCTGCGCGTCTCCTACTATGGGAGGGGAGAAGAGAGGGAGGGGTACCTCGGGGGTATTGGTGATCCGCGGGGCCCACCCCCGCGTGTGCTGCAGCGGCGGTTGCCGCCAGAGCAGCTGCAGCAGATGCAGCAGATGCATGCGCAGCAGCAACAGCAGTACTATGCAGATATGCGGCGGTTTCCTCCGTCAAGTGGATGGAGGAGACGGAGGAGCTGCAGCAGCAGAGGCAGCAACAGCAGCAACAGCAGCTGCGGTGCCGATAGAGAGGGGCCCCCGGGGGGCCCCCTTTCTGGACGGGGATCGTTCATTGATAGGGAAAGGAAAGTGTGCGTTTGCATCTCATGCATTCGCTGCTGCTGCTGATATTGCTGCTGCTGCAGTAGAGGGAATGAGTTGCGTGTGCCAGATGCCGTGGCTGCTGCTGTTGTTGCTGTTGCTGCTGCAGCCGTCCCCAATCTGCTGCTATTTGTGCTGTGGTTGCTGCACCTGTTGCAGGAGCAGGAGCCGCAGTGTGAGCACAATCAGCGTCAATGAGGCATCGGACTCCTCCTGCAACGAAGGCAGCAGCTCGTACGAGCAGCAGCAGCAGCAGCAGCAGCAGCGGCGGTCGTGGCAGGAGCGTGCTTCTGGCACAGCAGCAGCAGCCAGCAGCAGCAGCAGGCCCTTGGAGGGGCCCTTCAGGAGGTCCTTCTCAAGGGGTAGCGGCGTCTCTGCCGTCTCCTCCCGCCGATCCCGATCCCGATCGCGATCCCGATCCCGTCGCCGTTGGCAGCAGCAGCAGCATCAGCAGCAGCATCAGCAG